TGGAATATCACGTTACAAATTGAAGCATGGATGGTTTCGGTGTTTGAGCTATAAAACACTTTAACGAGTGTCCTAAAATTGAGAGAAGAAACACAGTCCCTTGCTTCAGAATCTGGAAAAACAGCGTTCGATTTTTTTCGCGGAAAAAATTAGGCATACTTCCAGATCTGGGAGTTTCTTCCTATTTTCCAGATTTTCTATATTTTCTTTCCTTCTTCCTTACTTCTTTTTTCAGCCTCCTCGCCAGCAAATCGGTCCAAAAATTCAACCAAATATTGCGAGAGCTCCCGACCAGGGCTCTGATTTGTCGAACCGTCAAACAGTTCAGAAACAACCACAACCAATTTCTACGGCAAACGCGAATCCGGTCAGAGTGGCTTCATCACAACAACCGGTGAGTTATATGTTGTGGGATTATTCCAACCCCATACGATTTCAGTTCAGATTTCGAGAAAAGTTCTTTTTTCAATCTAGTGAAAGTACAATAAATTAACTTTTCTTTCAGGCTCATCGCCAGCAAATCGGTCCAAATATTTCGCCAATGCTTCCGAGAGCTAATTTGTCAAACAGCCAAACAGTTCAACAAAGACAACAGCAACCAATTACTGCGGTAGAGGCGAATTCTGTCCGAGTGGCTCCATCACAGCAACAGGTGAGTTATATTTTCGCTATTCCTAATTGAAAGCTTTTTCATAATTCATGGTCTACAAATTAACCACGATAAATTAACTTTTTTCAGCAGCATCGCCAGCAAATTGGTCCAAATATTTCACCAATTATTGCGAGACTTCCCGGCCAGTCCTCTAGTTCGTCAAACGGTCTTACAATTCAACAACAGCAACAATCAACTCCGAAAGCGCCTGGTCAATATACGCATCCTTCAAGTGCTGAACCAATCCGACCACACGAACTGCAACAACTCCATAGAACTCCTGGCCAGAACGTACCACTACCAGGCGGTCTATCAACGCAAAGAACGCTTACATACCAAAGAGTTCCTGGACCAGTGATAGTTTCTTCTAATGGTCAACCAATAAAACTTCCGCCTGGTTTGGTTGCTACAAACCAAAGAATTCAATTGCCAGCTGGAGCCTTTAATAGAGTCACTACAGTAAGGAATAACCAACGGCCACCACCACCACAACCGCCACATCGGAGCACCCTTCTACAAGACAAAAAGTCGCCAAAGTTCCATTTCATAAAAATTATCGATGCACAAACGGAGATGTTTATAAGAGAATGGCATTTCGAGTCGAATCCAAAACAGCGGTTAGTTTTTTTTTTTTTTAAATCAACAATGGAATCATTTAATTTATTTTTTCAGCCATTCAATAGAAACAACACAATAAAAGCTGTTCACGAGTTATCCTCTTTTGCCGATGAGTATGATTATGCTCCAACAGACTTCTTGACACCATACTACAAAACAAATGTATATCCGAAGCCCGGAGAGAGAATGACCCAGAAGATGTTCTATTGGTATGAAACTCGAAAACGATGGGATGCGGCTGGTGTCAAGATTCCAGTACTTAATCAAGAAGATCAATTTAAACTTAAATCTGCATTACAAGATATTCAACCTTGTGATGTTAAGAGGTGGAAAACAGTTTTTGAACTTTTGCAAATTGAAACCCCGGAAAGTCCTAATTATCAAAAAAGTATACCGTCGACGAACGGATCTTCTCAAGGGTCTTCTACAGACGCATAATCAAAGTGAGTGAATTTAAAAAGTTCAAAACCGGAAGTAACCATCATCACATTCAGTTTTCAGACAATTCGAATCTCCAGGCTTACCGATCCACCGGTTTCTCATCCACCAAAGACATTCTCAAAGTGATATGTTTTTTAGATTTAGAAATGCTTTAATATTTCACCTCTTACTTTTTCTTTTTATTCATCGTTATTTATATTCCCCCCCCCCCCCCCCCTATTCGCTCATCCCATTGGTTAATCTTTAAATCAAAATCTTCCTTGATGCTTGTAATGTTAATTCGGTTCAATTTTTGCTATGATTATTAATACGGATATATTTCAATAAAACCTTTTGTGAACTGACTGATGAAAGAAAAAAACATCTGAAATGTAGTTTTCATGATGAAACCCCAGTTTCTAATTATTATAGTTGATCATATAACAATAGGAAAAATTTGCAGTATATTGCAAATTCAGACGTTTTTTTAGTTACCTTAATTTAACAGTTTGTAAAAGAGATATGGTACACCTTCATTTCAAAAACAGAGCTAGAATTTTTTTTATATTTTTTGAAACTTTTATAAAAACATTGTACAAAAGAGTTACTGTGGGGAAAAATATTCGAAAAGGAAAGGTATTACTGTAGCAAAAGACAGGGATGTGTGCAAGAATCACAACTGACAGTTGCTGAAATGAGAGTACTTCTAAATCGGGCAAAGTTTTTTCAAGCAGCTGGCTGATGCGTCTTCGACGCGGTTTAACCTATGTATTGTACTGTTCTCGACCCGCTTCTCACTTTTCCATTTCTATTTTTCGAAAGGTCATGTCGAATTATATTGAATTTAAAGCTTTTCAAAAATGTTTATTTTCTTATTCACGTAACCCGATAAATCGACAAATCAATCAGTCATGTCACCCCTTCTGTCCACATATTGAAAAAAAAAGTTCTTTGCGAAATTCCCCTCTTCGAATTAGTTTGAAATTTTTCACAAGCTCTTTTTCACTGCTCTGAAGCTCCCTGCGTAAGCTGTTTATTGTTTCATTTCCTTTTTTCTTTCGATTGGTCGATTGCGAAAAAAGTTATAAAAGGCCCTAAGGGTCGCCATGTTTGGTGGTTCATGGCTAGGTGAATTCATTTTCACTGAACTTCCCCCCTTTTGCAAAAGACCCAATCGAAGAAAAAAGAAACAAATGAACATAAACAATAAATGGCGACGGTACAGTAAGCTTAGAGCTTCCTCCAGAAGATTTTTCTTTGGTTACACTACTTTCAGTAGCTTGACCTTTTGTAACAAAATAATTCTCTTTAATGAATTTCCATTTATCAAAGTCCAAATGTATCTAAAAGTCAATCCCAAGGATCTGTAAGACATTCAGCGAAAGCAAGCTTCCTTGAAGTGCCTAGTGAAGGTAGTAGTATATCTCAAGTCTTTGATTTCCTTCCATCTGGAATTAATGCTCTTATGGATTCATTAAGATTATCAATAGGTTCTTATCAAGCTGGTAATAATGGAGAATACAATAAGATTCACTTCATGTTAGATTAATTAATTCGTAGGAGAAAAATAAATAAAAAAGATTTACCAAGTATTTATTTAGGTATTGGATTGTAAATCCTAATGACCTAAAGGAGTATTGGTCTTCAGCTAAACCTATGAATTTGAAAAGTATTACTTTGATTTCTGGATTATAGTATTTTCTGACCCTTTACCTTTTTTTACATATGCTCTTGAAACATTTGGAAATTCTTTAGAAACACCAACTCTTTTAAACTTATCACTAAGTGTATCATCTATATCTAGATCATTGAGAAAATCTAGGTATTCTCGATTTTTTAAAATTTTCTTATTCTTTAGAGTAAGAGAAAGATCAAGGTACTTCTACTATTTGTTCCTTTTGTTTTTCATTATACTTCTTTCTAAGCTCATTGTGTTCATCTCTTTCTTTTTGAAAATCTGAATGCATCTGTTCTAACATTAATTTATATTTCTTGTTCGATAATCCAAGTGTATTAATAATAATAGACTTGCATTCACTCTCACATTTTGATGTTAATAATTTAGTGAAACCATATTTATAAGCAAATTTATCACTTTGAGACATCTTACATCCATCTATTGCGTGAATCATTTGTTCTAAAGATCTAAATACATTTGAGCTGTTTCTTTTCTCGCATCATTTTTGGTATAAACACTGATTTCTGAGAAATCTATTTCTTTTTTACCATCAACTTTTTGAACTTCTTGGATGAAAGCAGACAATTTAATTTGATTTTGAGATTTATCCATTTATATAGGATTATAAATCCAAAGCATTCTTCAAATGAGTATATCTAATTTTTTCAAGGTAATATTTACAAAGGTATTTACTTATCCATTATTATCTATAATAATTAATTTATATTCATCAGTATCCATTTAAATTCATTAGTATCCATTAATATTCATTACAATCTATTGAAAAAAATTTTATGATATAAATGACTAATAGAAAAATATTCGATGCCTGGAATGATTACAAAAATAAAAATGTTTATGTCAAGAAAACTAAATTCTGTAGAGACATCGGATGTAGTGTAGATTATCTAAATAAAATAATCAGAAAATTCACAAAAATTTTTGAAATTTTGAAAACCCAGAAAGTTGTAAAATTGAAAAAAATAGAAATAGTAAAGGTAGATTTCAAAAAATAGAATCCTCAAACACATCATCACAAAGAGAAGATGATCTGAATCAAATAGATGTAGGAAGTAATAGTATAAAAGTAATAGATATTTCTAAAAATATTACAAAAAGAACACCAGAAGAAAAAATTGCTTTCATTCAGAAGAGTATAAATCAAAATAAGTAAAAATATTTCAAACATTTTCTAAATCTTCCATCATCAATGTCTGAAGTCTTATCAATTGATAAAAAGTTATACTCCCTGAGGTCGCTATGTAAATAATTCTTACTCCATATTTCTCTCGACATTTCTAGGAATTCTTCCTTCGAAATTTCATTAGCATGATCTCTGTAGATGTAATCTAAATTCATCTTATCTTGCGGAAATATTATAAAGAAGTTAGCCTTTTCTCTAATTGTATTCTTTGGAAGCTTTATATAATTCTGTGAAATGTAAAAACAATCAATGGAAGAATGTCTTCCTCTAGTATAATATTGTTCTATTTTATTTTGTTTTTCTAATAAAAGATCGTCAAAAATTATTAGAGTCTTCTTATTGGGATCAATTGAACTAGGATCTGGAATATCTTCTATTTTGTCAGATGTAAACACTTTAATAATTCTTTGGGGATTTTCCTTTTCTTCAATTATGAAGCCTTGCTTTTCAAAACACCTCCTAATTTCTTTTTTTACTTAATCCATTTTCGAAACCATTAATTAATGCTTGATAACAAGGTTGAAATAAAGTTGTACTAAAGATGTATAAATTATTGTAATCAAGGTATTCTTCTAATAGCAAATTCATAAGTAAATTAGTCTTTCCACATCCACTCTTTCCAATAATACAACCTCTTATTGATTGAGGAAGTAAATCATTATTATTTCTTTCAGGATAATAATTTTTGACACTAGAATCATTAAATTCACTATTTGAGAAAGTCATTCTTCTTCACTAAGTGAATGTCTTACAGATTCTATAGAAAATAATTTTTTATTTAAATGACAACATTATTTCTCAATTTGCACAGAATTAATGAAAAAACATTTTATTTTGATTTTCCTACAAGTAATAAAATAAATGAGCTTGCAGTAGTCAAAGTTGATGGTATTCTTCAGTTACTAGAAGGATCTGAAAGACATTCACCTGGTGAAGGTAATAAAAATCTAGATTTTGTTTATTTATCTTGCAATCTAGTTTGTGATACTTTTATCGATGAAAGACAAAGCAACGTTATTTGTAAATTTCCAATTCTTAAAGATAAAGATAATGAAAAAATAAAAAATGAACCAATTAACCCAATTTATCACAAACTTATGGATAGACCAAATGTTTTAACTCTCAAGCTTGTTGACTCTTTGAATAATCTTATCGATTTCAATAGGTGTGATCTTCATGTAGAATTACATCTTAGAAGTTTCTAGATCCTCTTAAAACCAGATCCACGTTTTAGAGCTCTAAGAAATGATGCATTCATTTTATTCAATCCTTCGGATCTATTAGTAGTCATTGATTTTTGAGTAATACTTGCTCCTTCACTTACTTTTTAATTGTTTTCTATTTTTTCTTCATCTAGATGGTCAACTAGTTGTATTTTATCTTTCTCTTTTGGAGTTATAATAATGAAGCTCTTTTCGGAACTTGATGTTTCTTTGAAATCAGAATTGAAGAATCTCATTGTAAAATATTTGATTCTTAGGATTTTGTATTAAAATTTAATAAGCATTAAAAGTTTATGATAAAATATTTAATCAATCAAGGAATCTTCATTTAGTCTACAACAAGAGATCTTCTATGTTCATTTTTGAAATCTTGCAGTTCAACACCTTGGTAATCTTCACCTTGGAAATGATTTTTTGTTCTCACAAAAATTGGATTCCTATTTCTCGGATTTATATTTTTTCTTGAATCAAAGAATGTTTTTGGAGAAAGGACCATCCAAATAGATCTACCTATAAATATGTAAAAGAGAGTAACACCAATAGTTACATAAATCCTCCAAATTCTAATGTAATACTTCTCAAAGATGCTAGAAACTTCATCTAATATTTCATGAGGAATCATTCCATCTTGACTATTTGAGTGTAGATCAATGGATACATCAGCTTTTTCACGCATCTCATTAATTAATTCTTCCTCAATATTCGTTTTTGTATCAAGGAGAATATGCTCATGAAAGATTACTTTATCATCTAAGAAATTTAGATCGAACTCTTTAAAGGTTTTGAAATTAGTAACATTATTAGCCATAGGATGTAGTGCTAGGCTACTAGAAATTATTCCCCCACTTGGATCGTTCTTGTAATACCAAATCTTGTCTCTAAATTGTTTAATTCTAATGGGTATTTGTCCTTGATTAAAAGCTAAACTTGTCTTGAATCCATCAAAATGTGTTAGATCAACAACTTCAATGTCAGAATCATCAATTTCTTTACAAAATGTCACTTGAATAATATCGTCATTAGTATCCATTGATCTTACCCGTATTGCTGAATGATTTAGTTGTTTTTGAATGTATCTTCTAGGATTTTCTCTTATTAGTGTTTCAAGAAGAGAAGTATGTTCATTAAAGATATCACACATTACTTCAGTTGTATGTCTTAGTAGATTATTTGATTTGTTCTCAAGATATTGAAACTCTCCAGCTGCTTTAAAATCTGAGTAAACTTGTCTTCCTGTTCTACCAATCCTCTGATTTCCAAAGGTCTCGGTATTTTTAGATTTTCTATTTCCTAATTCTTCGAGAGCGTATTTAGCAAATTTAGTAACGTATTCATCATAGGTTGGAAAAGTATCACATGCATCTCTAGTTTTTACGAAATCAGAGATTTCTAGACCTTTGGTTTTTAAATAGTCTTCAAAACTTGGAAGCAGTAAACAATCATTTTTAATCTTTGAGTATTCTTCATAAGTGGGTAATGGAAAAGGTTCTTCTAAACTTTGATTCGTAGATCTTTTGACCTTTTTGGTAGTATTCCAATTCACAGAAGTAGTAGTAGTATTTGCTCCAGTATTCAATAATCGTTGTCTTTCCAATTTTTCCTTCTTTCTTTTCTCGAATTCAAAATATTGCTTCATTTTTTCTTCTCTTCTCAAATTCTTTACGCTCAGCTTCGTATTTATCTCTTGTTTCTTTGTCTTTTTGATTTTGAATTTCTTGTTGTCGTTTATAATATTCTTCTCATTCTTTTTGATATTTCTGAGGATTCATCAATCCTTCGGATCTAGGAATCTCTGTTTTTATACTCATTTCTTGAAGACTAGGAGTTGATGTTAGTGCTTGTGGTGTCAATCCTGTGGATCTAGGAATCTTCAATTCTGTTGGAATTCTTGGTATTTCGTTTTCATGTAAATGAACAACGTGTTGACGTACTGTAAAACCTTCATCACTAACTATCAGATCAAGATTACAATCTTTCACAATTTTGTTTTCCCCAAGACTCAGTGCAATTTGATTTTTACTATTTATCCACAGTCCATTACTCATTATTCCATCTAGTTTTCCAATTGAAATATATTGGCAATTTTGATCTTTATTAGCATCCCAAATCATAATTTCATTAGTTTTTGAGCTACAATAACCATCCTGATATTTACAATTACTTAAGTCTGAGAGAACATTAGATGGCCTACTTTGATTGAAGTGTGAATATACTTTAGTTTCAATAATTACACAATTTTCTTTGTAATATCTTTTACTTGTAAAGAAACTAGTCCCTCTCTCTCTCTCTCTCTCTCTCTCTCTCTCTCTTTCTCTCTCTCTCTCTCGACGTATAAAGGTCATCAGCGTACTCGGCAAAGTGTCTCGCATGAATATACCTCGGAAATTTTGATTTCAAGTACTTTTACAAGCTCTTCGAGGTCTAGATTGGTTACTGATTTCAGATCTTTTCGGAGACCAAAAGTAGTCATTTAATAAAAAAGAAAACTTCAAAACTTGTGTTAAACGCTTCTACTTTCCACTTCTTGGCTTTGTGCTATTGTAAAACTAAAGTAATAAGTAAAACAAAAAAGGCAAAAAATACTGGGAGCACATGGGAGTCGAACCATCATCCTACCGCATTGCACAGGTCCTGGGCGCGCATACGCATAATGGATGGGCGACGGATAACGCGCCGATGAATTGGGTACAGGGATAGTGCGCCGGTATGGGGCATATACGGGGCATATGGGGCACACCGCCGTCGCAAAGCATCTCCTCGCCTGGCTTGCTGGCACTCGATGAAATGAACTAAAACGTTGGTTGGGGGTTCCTAGAAGTATCAGTTAAGTTCTATTGTGGTGATTTTGTTCAGGTCTTCCGATTTCGTACTTTTCCTTTATTATTCCATATTCTTTTATATTTTGAACGACATATTACTGATTTTTCGAAACTCAATGTTTTGGTTTTGAAAAAGACTTATGGCAGTTTCTATTTAAATTTGATTTGCAAATTCATATTTTAAAAATACAATCAAAAACAAAGAAAATGGGAAAAAATCGCTAAAAATTGTTTTGTTTTCATTTCAAAAAATATGTCTCACTTTCACTTATTTTGAAATTGCATGAAAAAATTGAAAATTTTTATAATTTACACTTTGTAATTATTGCATACTTACCAACTTACCTTTTATTCCACCTGAAAATACGATTTTTACAATAATTACAAAGTGGAATCAAAAAATCTCAATATCACCTGTTTTGGCGAAAAACTTAGCAATTAACGAGTGAAAGACATGTTTCTGCAAGAATTCAGCGATTTTTTATTCTGCCATAACTCTTTTTCACAAAAAACGTCGAAGGAATAATCGAAAAACCAGAAATGTAGGCTCGAATTGACGAAAAATTGACAAAGTTGCCGGTGTGGATTTACGGTAAACAATGCGCGCATCCGGGATTTCGGAGTGTTGTAGTCGGCCTACCGTATCAGACCCATATCACACACATCACCCACCCACCTAGAATCTATCTCGGATACGCGCGCATTCGGAACACTCGATTCAGCCTCTCCCGCATCGCACACATATGAGACTCATCGCAGCTCGTTGTTCGCGATATGTGTCAAACGGACTTCTAGAGGATCGCATATGGATCGGGTCCTTTATGCGCATCATCGCCCAGGACCTGTGTGCGGTTGCCATCACTACCGACTGAGTCATGGAGGCTCCCTCTTGCTTCGGAAGATTTCTCCCCTATCTACTCAGCGCGGCCTAGCAGAGACGCAGAAGAGACAGCCAGCAGTGAAGGGTGTGAGAGAGCGAAGAGAGAGAGAGAGAGAGAGAGAGAGAGAGAGAGAGAGAGAGAGAGAGAGAGAGAGTGTGTGTGTGTGCAATTATGTGTTGTTGACCTCTTCCCACACACGAGTCTATTCCCCTTTTGTGATCTATGTTGTTTTAGCTACTCTGTCTCATCATTGATGAGTAATCTTTGGAAGGTGAGTCATGCGTGCTCCTACACAGGTGATTCGCGCAGCGTCTATAATAGGTGAAATATTGTTCGCGGAAAGTCGCTATGAGTACATCGGAACATGCCTGTCGCAGGCAAAAACAATTAATTAAGTTATATTATTCTCTTCCGCTGTTGTCGAACTGGCTGAAACGGCATCGGAGCTTCTCGTTTTGTCCATTTTTGCCTCAGTCGATGACGATGAGCAGAAGATGATGTTGATTGTTGTTTCGAAGTAACTGAAATGATTTATCTAGATTTTAAGCTCCCAATTCTTTTTGTACTATACCTCTGACACAAGTTATCGACTGGACATTTTTTTCGAAATCCGCGAACTTAACACTTCCGTCTGAAATCAACTTTTTTCTCTGATATTCGTTTTCAAATTTACCCACTGTTCCAGAACTTTTTCCTTCCTCATTCTCAGTTGCATTTTTCCGGAGTGCCCAGTCGACATACAGGAAAATTGAGATTTTCTGGCACCCTGTAAAAATTAGATTAAAAATTCGGATTTTCTGGACGCTTCTTACCTTTTGAAAGTACAGAAGCAATGCTTCTTGCAGAGTTTTTCGAAATTTCGGCTTCTTGCTTCTGACTTTTGTCTTCCGGCCATTTTCTCTATTTTTCTGCAAACAAAACGATACATTCATGGTTATACAGTACTCTAGTATAGTATTATTTGTTAATTAATAGATTCCGAACAAAAACTGCGAAGAAAACACTGCGGCGTAAATAGCCGAAATTTTTTCGGTAGTTTTCCAGCGGAGCGCATCTGCACACCCTCTTTTGCGCGCGCGTTCAAAAAAGAAAAACCCGAATGAAATTATAAAGGAGAGAATTTGTCGGCAGAAAAAAGGGAATGCAAATATTTTTATTGGAAATAAAATACAAAAAGAAGACAATTTTCAGGAAAATCTGGAAAAATTCCCCCATGCAATTGCACGCCGATCGGAAGCAATAATTTTTTTTTGCATTTTTCCATAAAAAATCAACTATTTCTGTATAATAAAAATTTATTCTGGACATTCTTCTGTGAAAAATAAATTCTTGAGTAGCGCAGACATGACATGAAACTTCAGCAGAAATAGAATGAAGCGGCGATGCAGAAGTCGAGAAAGCCTCTGAAACTACAAAGATCAAAGGGAAAATCTCAAATTTCGTTGTTATTCGTAAAAAATGAACGAGAAAAAGTTGTTTTCATCGCCTTCAACCATGAACGGAAAGGCCAGCAGATCGTGTGATACAGCTGGCACTAACTATTCAAAGGGAGTCTCAGAAACATATGATTTGAAGACTCACCAGTGGGAAACTTACCGAAGAAAAAATAAAATAGTAATAAGAGTAGAAAATAGAATAAGTAGCCGGAATAGTAGAAATTTGAGTTGTGAAAACTCATTAGAGGGAATAGAGGGAATGGAATTCATGTGACACGGATTTTTTTCAGAACTTCATGACTTCCGGGCAGCCCATGTCCATTGAGTGTCTGCGTATCTGGAAAAATACAGTATCCGTCACTTTATTGTTTTTTTCGAAAATAAATGAAGCTTCACTGGTTAAAATCGATTTTCAGGTAAAAATGCGACTGTCCGAGCTAAAACTCAACTGTCCAAAATGCTCTTATCGCACTGACGCTTCTAATATCCGCAAGCATATCAAAGTAAAACACGATGAAGAGGCCATGGCGACTTTCAATGCTGCGCTCCTTGCAAAAAAAATCAGAGTTGAACAGAACTGAAGTGAAAACATGTGATCTGTGTGGCCATCAGTGTGCATCGTTGTCTGGGTTGAAGTCACATAAAAGAGTGAAGCATGGGAATCCGGAGAGAGTGGTTGTCGTGGTGGATCCTGCAACAATTTCCGTTTTTGGTAGTGACGGCGAAAATGACGGGAGAAGCGGGGAAGGAACAAGTGAACCGCCTAGAAAGGTTGTCCATTAGATGGTAGTAGACAATTGAGCAGCAAAAACAAATTCAGAGATTTCATGGGGTGACTGAAGGTGATTTGGCAATGAATAGAGAGACGGCTGGAGGAGGTGGAAGTTCCCGGCGAATTTCTTGTCCCGTTTCAGACTGCGATGTGGCTGTGAGCACCAGAGCTCTTTTTGTAGAACATTTGAAGTCGCATGACCGTAGATTTGAACTGGAAAAAAATGTATTTGATAAAGAGGAAGATATGAGAGTCTGATAAAAACTAGGGATTTTTGAAAGAAATTATTGATTCAGAAGTGGGTCGCTGATCGATGCAAGAAGACAACAACGTCTTTCATTGTGAACAAAACTGTGGCAACTGCCAGTGGAAAAACCATCTACCACAACTGTCAGCACGAAGGGTTTTACGAGCGCACCGGGGATGTCAGATACGGTCACGACACTAAAAAACAAACAAAAGAGGCCACCTGTCCGGCATTTTTGAGAGTAGGACAGATTAATGCCAAGAGACGAAAAAATGGGAACTAACACATATTTAGATATCCGTGTCGGACGATCGTTCATCGGTATTAGAATATATTAGGCCCCCCGACAACTTTTTTCAGTAATCATTACCCCACAACAATTGGAATTTCTGACTAAGTATTCTCATCGAGGCGTCACACACGACGACACGATGAGAATACTTAGGTTTGAAAGTTAAAAACTCACCGTAACAAATTATCAATTTTGAAGCGAAATCAGAAGAATGGTCCACTGTTTGTACAAAGGTACTTTCGAACATGTTGAATACGATTTCAGTAATATATCGGTCATAAGCCTAATAGGAACAAAAATATGGGCTCTCAAAGTGTTTTCAGTACTAAATTGTGACCAAAAACTTGCATTTTTCGAGCTTTAAAACTCCTTTTCCAGGATTTTTTCAAGCGGGAAACTCTTTTTTGATCATTTCTCTATCATCTGAAATATTTTTTGTACAATTAAAAAAAAATTTTTTTTCGATTTTTTTTTTTTGAAAAAAAATCATCATGGGGTACCCCACACTTTAAAACTGATTTTTTGATAAATTTTTTTTGAAAGCGCAAAAAAGTCTTTCAAACATCAAACATGATAGAAACATCATTTTCACAAAATTTGGCAGCTCGATTTCGTCTGTGAGCCCTGATAATGCCCAAAATCTGATAATTGCAAGATATTTGAAAAACTTTAACTTCTCAAATATTGCTCAAAATCGCACGGAATACACAGAAATATATGAAGATCATTTGGGTGATTGATGTAGTGGTGTTCCACTCAAAAAAGAGCAAGACGGAGCAATTCCGAGAGTCGAAAGTTTTGCTTTTGGGCGATAGGACAAGTCGAAAAAACACTATTTCAAAATTTCTTCAAAATTTCAAACGCCTTCTTTTCACTTTGAAAACGTCGGGAATTCATGAAATAAGTAAAATTTGTTATTCAGGGGACCAAAATGGATATCGAAAATTCGTCTTGAAAAAACCAAAAAAAGATTTACCACAGTGGGGCTCGAACCACCATAGTCACTACTAATGAGTTTCCCTCTTACCGCAACACCACACAGCCGATATTTTCCTCTGGCGCGGAGTGCGTATAGGAGAGAGGGGCGTAGTGGAGTGAGGGAGAGGGCGAAATCGCCAAAAATTTTCAGACGAAGATTTTCAACTTGTTGATGATACTATGACCTAGATTTTTTCGTCATCGTGTTGCGGATATCTCAAACTATCAGTACTGAAATTTTCAGAAAATTCTCAACGCCCCTCTGAAAACACTTCCCTTGTGAGGATGAACGATCTTTTGAACTCTTTGACGTCTTCTTTCCCGTCGAACTTCTCCGGCTCTGGCAGAGCTGACGCCCTTATCATTCTGCCCAGACACTCCACCATTATTCGCGAACTGTTCCGTGACACTCGCAAACATCTCTCACTGTCGCGCTCACCCTTTCTTCTTTCGCTGACTCGCGCACTTCCTTCCGGAAAATCCCCCACACTGCTCTTCACTTCCCAATTCTTCACCTTCACGCGCCAGTCTTCACTTCGATCATTCTTCAGGTCACACTTCTTATAAAAAGACTCACCGTTCTTTCTCTCCTTCCTCTCATCGTGCCAATCCACCGACGAACCATTAGAACTCCTTGACGGCGATCTCCTTGCATGAACTTGAGTTTTCTCTTTATTTCCTGACAATTTTTCTCTCTTCTTACCTTTATCGTGTTCCAATTGGTTTCTCCATTTTTCCGACGTCTTCCTTTCCTTCAGCAGTGCCCTTTCCAGCTCCTCGATCGTTTCCTCTGCCTTTTCGGCGGCTTTCCACGCTTCCTCGAGCTTCGCGACCAACACCTCTTGTTCTCGGTTTGTTCGATCCAGTTGTTCCTCGAATTCTGTCTGCTCTTGCAACCACTTTTCCTGCAATGATCTCAATTGGTTATCAAGCACTTTTGACTCAGTATTTCTCGCGCTCGCTGTCAAATCATCCGGCAAGACCGCATCCCGCAAGTCTTCCAATTTTTCCAGCCCGTTTTCTCGCATTATGCGCATCACAACGCGCTCCCATTTTCCACTGCCCAGATCGTTGTAGCGCTTTGTCAATTCGCAAACTTTATCACTGGCTTCACGATCACATCTTTCTGCCTCTCTGAACACTTGTTGTACACATCTAGCTGCGCACACACACTCTCCACGACAGCCTCACTGGTTCCGATGAAATCGGCGTAACCTTTGACAAGCTTCTTTCGCTCTCTCAGCGTTACCTGATTCTGCATCGCATCTGCCCAGCTCTCCATCGTCGTCGTCCTCGCTTCACTCTTCTCGGAATCCACCGACTTGTCCTTGTTGCTTCTTGACTTGCTCCCGTCGTCATCGTCGTCATCTCCAAGCCTGAAAACAAATATTTCCTTCAAAAGAATGTTGGGCTTTTGTTGAATCTTCTACGGATATCGCGTCTTTTCGACAGGCTTCACCTGATCGAACTCTTCGCTAGGCCTTCACCTGCACGAATGTTCTATTCGCAAATTTTACAAGAATTTTCTTCCTTCAAACTCGGAGAAATTCTTGCGAAATTCACTAATTTTCACAACAATCCTCTCACTGGATCACTTCAAACTCTGGAGAGAATTGATGCAAAAACAACGGGAAAGAGGTAAAAGAACGGATAAACGGATAAAAAAACGGTTCGGCACCCAAATTGCCCGCGGTATGTCCGGGTATCAGGTTCCTGTGAGAAAATAGAAGAAAATCAACAAGAAATGTAACAAAATCGATTTATTATGAACAAGTTAGAAAGAAACAACAAATAAAAGCTTAGAATTCAAGCAAACTCACTTAAAATCCGTAAAAGAGTCTCTAGCACAACTACGAGCCAAATCCAAGCTCGCAATCACTCAAAACTAAATTCAAATTGTGCGCGCGCCGAGCGGGATAGCGGAGTGTCGTTGCGTGGTTAGAGGGAACCTTTAAAAGGGGTTGGAGGGTAGATGCACCAGGCAACTAACCCAGAAATTTGAAAATTGAGAAATCTTTAAGTTCTGGAATCACAGTCCCAAAAATTCGGAAATTTTGAAGTTTATAAGTTGTTAAAGGGGGACTCCGACCAAACATTTTTATTGCATACAAATGTTCGAAAAGTTGTCTATTTTTTCGAATATTATAGCGAAAAAAATCTGAAATCCCCGAAAAATGCCGTTAAAAGCGAAAATTTTTCAACAAAGTTGCTAGGAGGGACGAGGACTTGAATTCCCGCGCAGTGAGAAAAGTAGGCCACGGCGCCTGACAGCCGTTTTTT